GATTTACAACTGTCACATGACATGCACAGAGCTCATAAACTATTATATTTTATTTTTATTAGTGTTCGTCTGAACAGTCCGTAAGTTGCTTTATTCAATTTACATACATTGTCACCTTTGCACTGTATACCTTGAGTCTTATAAATATTTCGTCTTTCCACGTATCATTTTAGAATAAAGTTCTTAGATTCAGTTGATGGACTTTCAATGAACTTTTTGGAGTTTCGAATTTCCAGTTACCTGGAGAAAACATGGAATTCTTTGCTTCGATATGTGTATATGGCCTGAAACAGAAGGCCAGCTCTTTCCATTGGCATATTGACTCCCGCTTCTCCAAAAAGGCTATAAAGTACTACTATATAAATCCTTTCTAAAACCAACAAAAAAATCATCTCATTTGGAATTTCTAGACGGAAAACGTCAATGCAAAGAAAGACAACGCTTACACCTATGCAGCCTCAATAATGGTTGACCAACTGTTTAAAGGCTCGGAGAATGTTAGGACGTATCCAGTCACATGATTTTTCTATTACAGCATAAAGGCCTTTTAACTACTTCGGCTATCAAACAGACAGTGCCTTCAGATCGTCAACCTGATTAAAAGTTGCAGTAACAACCAACAGATAGTTTATCTACTATTTGATAAATAATATATTAAGACTAGAGGCATTATCGTCAGTCAGTTAAGGATCCACCATCTAGGTCCGTTGACGTATTGACGTCATTTTTTATACCCGTTACTAGTAGAGTAAAAGGGTATATTAGGTTCCTTGAAAAGTACGTAACAGGTAAAAGGATCAATAGCGAATTCGATTGGGCCATGTCCGTCAGTTCGTCTGTCTGTATATGTATATGTATATGAACGCTGAGATCTCAGGAACTATAAGTAATAAAAAAATTAAGCATGATGATTCTTGAGGTCCGTACGCAGCGCAGGTATATCCTTCTACGCCCACTCTAACTCCCATAAATTACGAAAAACTAAAATCGCTTAAATCTCAGGAACTATTAAAGCTAGGAAGTTGAAATCCAGAATGTATAATCTTGGGATGCCAGCGCATCATATGGTAGTACCGTTGACCGGCCACACCCACTCTTACGGCCATTTTGTTCCTTTTTTTCTACAAAAGCTGATATCTCGGTAACTATACGTGATAGAAAGTTCGGATTAAGCTGTAGGTTTTTATGATTCTCCTTATGGGAATTATTTTTTTTCGATCTAGCCACGCCCACTCTAACTCTATTATAGTGTATATCTTCGTTTGACCTTGTATTTTTGTCAATCTCTATCGATTTACCAAAGATTTTTCAAACCGGAAAATTATTTCTCTATTTATGAAAAAATTTATGTTATAAGGCCTCATATGGGCAGTGACGTCACTATCAGATACTCAACATGCTTCCTCCGACAATAGATGACGCTTTGATAATTTCCATGAGTAAATGAGTATTTTAAAATTTTTGTAAAACAGTAACGGGTATCTTATAGTCGCGTCACTCGACTATAGCGTTTCTTCTTGTTTAAATATACTACAAGAAATTTAATTTCCATGGCAAGACCTATATATGTAAATATAACCTTAAGAGACTTGTGCTCTAACAGTCCCTGCCGGTGTTTCTCCTTCAAACTAAAGAAACCTAACCCCAGTCATATCATAATTGTTCTATATAAACGTTTTTAATTGGTCCGACTTAAATTTTTTTCATTAACCAATTATAATCACTACCTTCCGAAATAGCCAAATCTACCAACTAGTTATTTTTGAAGTGATAGTTTTGTTATAGGATTTTTAAAAAACTCCATGCATGGTTTGGTTGTTAGATAAAATATTTTACCGGGCGGCATTAATTGTACAGTGATTAAGAAAAAATTAAGCTCCTTTTTAAATTAATAATATTCTCGGGAGCAGTCAATTAGTTTAAATTAAAATCACTGTTTCGATGTCTGTAGCCCACTGATAAAACAGGGCCTTGGAATTTTTAACAAAGCGATTTGATAATAAATTATTACTCTTTCAGGCACACTTTCGGTAATTATTCAAGCTACAAAGTGCGGAGAAGGGATCCGCAGTTCAGTAGACTAATTAACACTTGCGCGCCCTTAGTACTATAACAACTATGCGGGAGGTTATTGACAGTTTTAATCCATCTCATCGCTTTGAAGCTGGACCACCAGAAACATTTTAAACATTTTTGGACCTTGGAATGCGTTATGGTAAATCATACACTTAGCAAACAGGTGGGAAAGTAAAGTTCATGGCAGCCCCCCTTATCATCAACATTGCCATTTTGTACCCAAGTCTAAGGAACATTATCTATCAAAACGATCTAACTTTTTAGGATGGCTGTATCTTTGTTTAAATTGCCTACGGCGGGAGCTTACAGAAATGCAGGTCTGGCAACTATAGGAATGCCACCAGAAGCATCATTCTCTTCTTCATAGTCACCCCTTCCACAGACTGGTTCTGAAATGCTACCAAATATATAATCTTTAGTTTTTGTATCCTTGTCCAAAACACCACCTGTTGCCCCGTCGCCAAATATCGCCCAAAATACCGCAAAATCTCGAGCTTGCCAATCCAATCTGCTATAAAGTCAGCGCATTGACATGTTAATTGAAACCGACCTGCCAAAACTAGTTTCGATGTTTCAGGAAACTCATATCGTGCGCTACTTCGGTTTAAGGCATACGAGACTAAATAAGCTTGAAATTTACGTCTGAAGTTGCAGTACACAGCCTGCATAAAGTAATACCTGAACCTTGGCCACATGTCTCTGGCATCTAAAAACTCGACAATAATTTTTTAAATACTTTTACTTTTATTTTTGTTAAAACTTTAATATACATATTTCATAAATAAAATTTATATAAAAAAAGGCTAGATTGTTATTCAGGATCATCGGAATCAGAGAGAGGCATATTCAGATGCTTTATTAGAAGCAAACTCTTAACATCATCGTTCGTAATAATGGGTTTTGTAGAAGAAATTGGAGTCGAAAGAAACTAATGAGGCATTTAACACATCTTCCATGGTATTTGCTGAAATGTTTTCTTGTATTGCAATTGGAAGGCAAAAATGGCTTATAATGTCTGCTCCGTGAATTAAAATTCTGTGAACGACGATGGCATATAAAACCAGGGATATGATTTCACAAGCAATTCGGCAGTTTCCAATGCGTAAGACCGGAATGCCTCCGAATTTATTTCGTGTCAACACGCCAGTGCTCGTAAGACTACACTGAATCGATGTATTAAATCAAAGCTTACTCCTGTTATACGAGTAGCCAAATTTGGCTGTAACTAGTAAAATTTCGTTCTTCACAACAGTAACAAATACAAAGTTTTCCATGACAACAAACTTCTTGGTTTGGATGACTTTTGAGTACCATAAAGATCCCTTTTTGCTACTGATATTGTGCCTAAGAAGTTTGAAGGCAAGCAGGTAATAGAAGTTCATAATACACATTTTGGACGCTACTGATCCACATATCCGGGTCCGTTGTTAATACACTGAACTACGTTCACTACGTTTTATGAGCTAGACATTTAATATACACCTTGAAGATAAAAAAGGGCCAAACTTTTAAAAAATTCAATACAAATTTTAAATTTCCAAAGAACTCAAAATTAATTCGCGCAAAAATCATATGGTGTGTTTGTCCATTCACAGCTGTTGATCAGCTGATCGTAGGTCTTTAAAAAAAGCTTCGATAAATCTAATCAAAGCATCAGTTATCGACTTGTAAAAAAAATATAAACTTATTTTGAAATTTGAATTAAATACCGCTAGCGAAACGAAATTGCTCACTGTTCAACGGGGTGAACAGGTCGGAAGCAGTCACTTAGTTTAAATTAAAATCACTGTTTGTCATTTGGTCAGGATCACTGACAACAACAATGTGAATATAATCTGTTTGGCATTTATTTTGCATGCAGATAAACCGAGATAATCGCATGCGAGTCGCTAATAACTCTGCCTATCTCCCTATATGTTCGTTAACGTCTTTGAAACGTAGTCGCATCGCTGCTAAAATAAAACATATAAAAATAATAATAATATATAACTAATTCTTCTCGGCATTCCTTTAGCACCGTTCCGGGATCACATTTTGTATCAATAAGAAATTAATGCCCATCAAAACAAATAAAAATATTAAACATTTTTGTTGATTTATATAATATATACAAGTGCATGGCAATTAAAAGTCATTTAACTTTAACTCATACGCCCACAGAGCTCGAAAGTGGTAGAAAATTGTGACTAACCAGCAGTTTTCAATGATACCACCAAAGCGTATTATTTTTTTATTCTACCAGCACTCACAAAACGCGGTAACGCTAAAATCTCGGTAACTATAAGAGCTAGAAAGTTTTGATTAAGCAAACATATTCTTGAAATGCCACCGCAGCTCGAAGTTTAACTTTAATGCGATCGCACATCTTAACCTGAAACCACGCCCACTCTTACGCCCCCAACAGGTATGAAAAATTAAACTTATTGTTGCTTATAAAAATGAAATAATCCTTTTAAAAACGCAAGCTATCATTTTCTGTATTATAAATGCTAATAAAAATCGTGTTGTAGCCAACCGGCTATAAATTGAAGGAGAAATATCCAAGTACATAACTTTACATAACATAGACATTTGTTACGTACAAGATCGATTCTCTTGGCTGTTCATGCAAGCATTACATGGGAACCTCTTTTTATCACTTATAGTTCCAGAGATTTCCGCCGTCAAATAGAAAGAGCCCACAAATGTTCACAGTTTATGGTCGTTAAAGCATGAATAATGATTTTAAAATTTGGGATTATAGGCATCTCTAGACAATTCAGCGCTTGAAACCGCTTATAGCGTTTTTAAATTTTCCCGTTATTGTGGGAGTAGCATGAGAGACGGGCCGGTTGACGGACGGACACAACTAAATTGTCTGGGCTTTTACCCTTCTTCTCTTCGCATAACAGTATAAATATATATTTGTAAGATTTTCTACTTACCATACATATACCGAACCACAAAATCAACACGGTTGTCCCAGGAATATGCCATTTTTATATATAAATTGTTTTGAGCTAGCTCTCTTAAAATTTTGTAACTAGAAATATTATGTGTGCAAATACATACTATTATTATCTATGTGGATCTTTAAATATACAAATATTTAAAAATAAATTCATCTCTTAAGTTTCTATAAATAAATAAATTTATTTATAAAAATTATAAATAAATTTATTTAAAAATTATAAATAAATTTATTTAAAAATTATAAATAAATTTATTTATAGAGGTTTTTTAGTGAATATTAGCTCCTTACCTTCGGAAAAGCTTACTTCAGACTAACTTAATTTTCTGCACGTTTTGCCAAAACCCGTACACTTTGGCAACATTATTTACATTGCATGTTTCTAAACATTATATACGAGGTGTGTTCAAAAAGTAAGGTGACTTTTCAAATTTCTCGGGCAACATATTTTCGATTATCGTTTTTTTTGTTTTGTTATATTGGTACACTCTTCCCTAACATCTGTACCAAGTTTCAATGGAACATCCTCTTTGTGGGGGGGGGGGGGGGGAAAAGTTACAAGTTGTTTTGGAGGGCCGGGGTTTTTTTCATAGAGAAATACGAGGTGTGTTCAAAAAGTAAGGTGACTTTTCAAATTTCTCGGGCAACATATTTTCGATTATCGTTTTTTTTGTTTTGTTATATTGGTACACTCTTCCCTAACATCTGTACCAAGTTTCAATGGAACATCCTCTTTTGTTTGGTTGTGAGAGGCGTAAAGTTACAAGTTATTTTGCGAGCTCGGCGATTTTTTGCTTTTTTCGGTCTTGGCTCGTCTGGGCTCTTCCATTGGGACGATTGGGCTTTGGTTTCGATATCATAACCATATACCCATGATTCGTCACCAGTTATGACCCTTTTGAGTAAATCTGGGTCGTCGTTGACGTCATTCAACAGCTCTTGAGCGATGCTCATGCGACGGTTCTTTTGCTCAAAATTCAGCAATTTCGGAACAAACTTCGCTGACACACGACTCATACCCAAAACGTTTGAAAAAATTTCATGGCACGAGCCAAGCGATATACCGACATCTTCAGCAACTTCTCTGATAGTGATTCGACGATTTTCCAAAACAATTTTCGTCACTGCTTGAACGTTTTCATCAGTTGTTGACGTGCTTGGGCGTCCAGAGCGAGGCTGGTCATTGGCATCTTCCCGGCCATCTTGGAAGAGTTTGTACCACTTGTACACATTTTTTTTACTCAGAACAGTTTCACCGTATGCCACTGTCAACATTTCAAGTGTTTCAGAGCACTTAATTTTATTTTTACACAAAATTTGATGCAAATCCTTTGATCCATATTTTCGAAGGTGTGTTCAAAAAAAGGTGACTTTTCAAATTTCGCCTCTCACAACAAAAAAAAAGGGGTATTAAAAATGTAAGAGTAATAAGGAAAAGATTAAAAAAAAAAAAAAAAAAAAAAAAAAAAAAATTTGATATAGAAATCCAAACATGGTGTGAATACACAGGAGCCTCATTATCAGAAACCAAATGCAAACACTTACATGTATGCAGGAAAAGGAACTGCAACTTTTAACTTCAAATACACAATATACCATTGCAAAACGTAGACGTACTAAAACTGCTAGGAATAACAATAAATAAGAAATACAAATGGAACAATCACATCGAAGTCTTAACATTGCAACTATCAAAAAAGCTTAACATAATCAAGTGCCTATCCAACAACAGGCTCGAAACCAATATTACCACAATTCTTTAGGTGATAAAAACCATTTTAATGACCAAAATTGACTACGGAATACACCTTTACGGAAAAGCCCCAAAGTCCATCCTAAACAAAATAAAAACTTTTTACCACCCAGCCATTCGACTTGCATTCTCCGCTCACCGTACAACTCCAATAAATAACCTCTTAATAGAAGCAAATATAACCCCCCTTGAGTTTAGAGAGATGCATGCTACCCAAAAAAAACTATAAAATCATCTTAAATTCAAAACACTCACCCATCGAACAAATATATAAGCATATTATTAATGCAAAAAAAGTGCCAAAAATACCCTCCTCCCATTACAAGACCATTCATCTCCCAGAGTTTTCTTCCATTTTTACTGCGGAAATTGCGGCAATCCTTGCTGCATGCTTATATGCTTGCCAAAATAGCGGGAAATACGTTATATGTACCGACTCCCTATCCTCTCTAAAAGCAATAAACAATACCAATAACCAAAACTTTTACACAAACTTAATTCGAAACATAGTAGGAAAATACAAAACGGACAAACTGACACTGCTCTGGATCCCCGGACATAGCGGGATAAAAGGAAATGATATTGCAGACAAAACAGCTAAAAACACACACAACTTTCCTCTTATCACCGAACGCAAATACAACCCATCATATATTAATGAATCCATCAAACAAAACTCAAAATTACTAAACGCAAGCACATTAAGAAAAACATAACCGTACTGCAAATTAATTAACCACATAAGAGCTTCTCCTGAAATAATCAATAACACCTTACGTACAGACTTTAAGAAATTTATCAGAATCAGACTCGGACACACCAATCTAACCCACACCAATCTAAATCCCCCCAACAGTCTGTCCCAATTGTAACATAACCCTTACCATTCCCCACATCTTAATAGATTGCCCTCTCTACCACGATCAAAGAACCAAATGCCTTGGATCAACTATTGAGGAAATCACATCCTACCAAAACTTGAACAAAACAATAGACTTCCTCAAAGACACAAAGCTTTACCATTTCATTTAATATATACTGTAACATTTATGTAATAATATCAAAAACCAAACCCTTGTACATAAGCAATATCTATGTAATATTATTATTAAAAAAAAAAAAAAATACAAACCCTGTACATAAACTTCCATCCCAATAACTAAAAACTATACCATGTACGTAAATAAAGTTACTAAATTTAACCTCGAATAAGCTTAGGGCCTTGGCTGCTATAGCTTAAATCTATAAGTTAAGCGCTAATTTATAATTTCCGTTTAACTGTAAACAATAATAATAATAATAAAACCTTTGCATTTATTTGTTTGAATTGTTTTTTTTTTTTTTTTGCTGGTATAGAACTTTTTTCTGTTAAGCGAACTGATCTGTGCAAGAGCTCAAGCTGAAGTGTCGCTTCAACCAGACCACACTCGACAGTTGCGCTCTCGTTCTCAGAGCCAACACTTCGGATACCAGGAATTGGTGAACTTCTGGAATTGTGGCATCAGCCTCGATATGCTCGCCAATCAAGACAACACTTCCTAGAGTTCAACAATTCCAAGAACTGTCATGTCTCATTTTTTCATTCTTTCTTTTATAATTGGGGGGTCTTTGGTTCCCACTTTCGAGAGAAAGTGGAATCTGTCCGGGCGCCAGTTATGGTCAGACATGAACAGATGGGGGAGGATTCCCCCGGATACCATCAAGTTAACGTTATGAGCATCCTCGTATCTTGGGTTTCCAGTTCCTTCGTCCACAACTTAGACTTTTCTTTCTACGCAGCTACTTTAAAATAAAACAGTAAGCGTTTTCACACGTTACAATGGTTTTATTCTTATAAAGAACAGTCGTCTGGTTGCCTCGGGGGTACAAATCGAAGTAAATCTAAATCATAGGTTTGGCTGGTTTGTTGACTGCGTAACGCTGGCAGAGCGGTTGCAGCAGTCCGATGCTGACAGCAGCGGTTTTGGGCCAAAGTGTTGCTATGCCCCAGGTGCTAGCTCTGCATTTTCGGTTGGTCGCGGCGATGGGAAGGGGTAGCGGCACCTATTGCTGAGGCAGCTAGTGGGCGGTC